GAGACGGTGGAATTAGAAGCCCGTCCAAAGAGAGTTTTACTAATTCCTTAGTCAATTTGCTTTCTTGGGTTTTATTGCTCGCTTGCTAAGTAGCCTTTGCACAGCCCAGAAGAGAAGGTGATCGAAACACACAAAATTGAAGTTTTCAAGAAAACAGCGACAGGGGTGACATCCATCCAATTGTCTACAGACAGCAAAAATTCAGAAACAGGAGCCAATTGTATTTAAAGCAACTGCTAGGAGCCTGAAAGAAAGCTGGATTTGCTTCCTGGTGTAAGTGAGAAATATTTTTTTGGGGGGGGGGGAGAGAACCACTCCACATTTTAGGAGACAATCCTTGTAAAAAAATTGTGTTTTTTCTCTAAATAGCCAATAGCTATTCTCTAAATAGCCAGGTAAGGGAAACACATTTTTGAATGTGAGAATAAAACCATCAAATCACGTATTAGCTCACTATCAGGAATCCATTGGAGAATAAAGAATAGGATTTGTCTGCAGGTAAACAACCAAGCTTAGAGAACACAAGGACCCCACAGTCCTCCTCCTCCTCTACAAACTTCACTCCTTCTAGCACTGATGATATTGCCTAGTTGGGTAATGAAACGTCTGCAAGAAAACAAGCAAGCTCACAGACCACCAAGGACCCCACCATCCTCCTCCTCCTCACACTGATCACCTAGTTCAGTCATGATATGATGCAAGAAGTCAACCAAGTTCAGAGAGTTACTCATAGTTGTCCTCCTCTTCCTGTCTACAAACCCCTCTTCCTTTTAACAATGATGTCACCTAGTTGGGTAACCAAATGTCTGCCAGAAATCAGCCAAGCTCAGAGAGTACTAAGGACTCCATAGTTCTCCTCCTCCTCCTCCTCCTCCTCCTCCTCCTCCTCCTCCTCCTCCCTCCAAGCTCAAGACAGCACCAAGGAGTCCTGCGCTAGAGACATTCTCTCCTATCTTTGCTACGTCTCCTGTTTGTGGACTGTCCAAGTGCTGGCTTGACATTGGAAGGACGGGAGGGGAAGGGGAACCTACACCCGCGTGTTGTGTTAACCTTAGCTCCTGCGGGTGCCAAATGTAGCGTAACTTTCATTTGGAAGCTGACCACTCCGGGAGAGCCAGCCACAGCAACTCCACCAGCAAAGGCACGTTTCAATTAATCAAGCCACGCAATTTGTCACCGGTGCCTACCCCTCCCCTTACGAAGGACCTTCTTCCAATTACCCGTCAGGTCAAGAGCCCCAAAGCAAGCAAGGAGGGTGGAAATAACAGGAGAGCACAAGATTCTTTCTTCGTTAGAATAATAATAATAAAAAGGTCTCTTTGATTGCAACTTTTCACTCCGGGCAGCTTCATCGTTAATAGCTCAAAATCTACCCATCTTCCTTGCAAAAAAAAATCACCAAATATCACAAAAAAAAAAGTCTTGTTTTTAAAATCCCAAAGAATGAGGCCAATTTAAAACAAAACAAACAAATAAAAAAAAAATCAGAAGACTTCCTGATCTTTTATCATGCAAATCAACCAGATCCTCTTTCCCTCCTGGGTGCGTCCCTTCGATAGTTTACAATTAAAATAAGTGTAAATAACACGGCTGGGGTTTTTGCTCTTTTCTTTCGATCTTCCAAACCAAACCAAAAAGAGAGAGAGAGAGAAAAAAAAGAACAAAAATACACAATTCTTTTTCTCGAATTCCTCGCGCCGCGGCGGGGTCTACCGCATTAATGCGCCCGTGTTAATTTGATCGGGTTTGTCAGGTAGCTCCAGTGGAAAATTATATAAAACTGTTCCAGATGAACAGATGATAGTGACATGAATTAAAGTGATAGAACAATAGTAGAATATAAACCAGAAATGACAGCCAAAGTGGCTGTTGATTTATTGCCATCCAGAGTGTGGTTCTGGGCTTCCATGTATATTAGCGGTACAAATCTGGGCCCATTTAGCGGAGAGATGCTCATACATACATCACCAACTGCTCCCACATGCCAAGGTCACTTCTCGTGGCATCAATCTTTTGGCTCCTTGGCTCACGAGTGTGTGTGTGTGCACGCACACCAAAGGAGGCCGAGGCTGGCTGGGTAGGGGGAACCATCTTGGAGGGGGTCCTTGGCCCCCCCTTCCCATCCCTTTATCACCTGGAAAGCACTTGAAACTTTCTATTATTTTTATCGGCAAAGGGTGGAGGTGCCCTCCCATTTATTACGGCCCCTATCAGTCCATCGTTGGCGCACAAAGCAGGGAACACCTGCGTTGGTTAGATGGCGCATCCTTTTTGAGGTGGGTTCCTGGGCTGCCTGGTCCCTCCCCTTTTGTGTGTTGGTGCCGGGTGTTGCCCCAACGCCTTGGAAACACACATTTGGAACAATACTTTACAGGCCGAGTGTGAACTAATATGCTATTCTTAAGTTCTGGTAATGTCGGGTGCGAGTAATCAAATCAACCCGTTTCGGGCTGAAGCTAACTACTTTATTGTTTTCCGCCTATAATGCAGGAATCTTCCTAGATTGCTTGCCTTCTTCCTTTGGGAACAGATTGAGAAGATTCCGTAGAGACGAGGGGAGGGCAATCCTGGATCTCTTGTGACTGTGCAAGAATTCAAGGCTAATTTCCTGCTTGATTCCTCCTCCCTGCCTAGCTGGGTGCTTCCCAACAAGCATTTTTTCGCTGCTTTAAGGGGCATGATGGTTTCCGGCCTTCATGATCAAGCCCGCATTGCGTAGAGTTCAAACTAACCACTTTATTGTTGAAGACTCCTTGGTACTCTCTGAACTTGGTTGTTTTCTTGCAGACCTTGCAACTGGACCTTTTTTTGTTTGTCCTGGAAGATGTTTCGCTTCTCATCCAAGAAGAACCGAAGAAGCTTCTTGGATGGAAAGCAAAATGTCTTCCGGGAAAAACAAAGGAAGTCCAGTTACCTCTTGGGGGAAAAAAAAGAGAAATAAAATAAAATCTGAGAAGATTTACTGCGTTCGTGCACCCTATTCATCACCCAGTCAGAGGATTAAAGGGATTATTTCTTGCCCCTCTTCACCCCGCCCTTTCTAATAGCTCCGTGCTCTTAACCTACTCCTCTTCCTGCCAAAATAAAATTCCTAGAGCGGGCTGCAAAAAAATAGGCCCTTTTGTTTCCAACGCTGTGTCACATTTCATCCCCAGACGCAGATGGAAAAGGAACACATGGGGTGGGGAAACCAAAGCTCGCTTAACAAATGTCTCGCTTAGCCACGGAAACATTGGTTGTGGTTGTTAAGTCGAGGACTACCTGTAGATAAACAGCTGCTGGGCAATTGACTGCATAGGGGGGGGGAGTCAATTATGGGGGAACTGACGCCCCCCCCCCCAGGCTGAGGCAGAAGGAGAGACGTGATGTGCAGAGAAACTACCCTTTTAAAAAAGCAAAACTTCATATGAGGATTATAAAATTAACAACACACAACTACAATTTTGTACGGAGACGGGTTCTGCCGCCGAGAAGGGAGCGAGGGATGAAAGGTGGAACAGCTCTTCCACGAATCCAGCAGGTTTTGTTTTGTTTTTGTTCCTTCAGCTTCGGTCCAAAGGAAAGCTATTTGTTTCTGCTAGCAGAAAGACTGGCTGGGTTAACCATTTGTCTTTGGTGATCTGTCCTGACCTTTTCAAGCTCTTATTTCTGACAGATTCCAGATACAAGTGAGTCAAACTTCCCTGGAAGGAAACTATCACCCCAAGATGGTTTGCTCAAGAGCAGAAAACATGCTGAAAGAAAGCTGCCCTCCATCAACTCCAGTATATAAATCCTTCCTTAACAAGACAACGCAAGGAGGAGGGAAGGGGGTAAATGGATGAAGAAGGGAAGGGCAGGAAAGGAAAGGGGAAAGGGAAAGGAAAGGAAAGAAGACAGAAAGAGAGTAGAAAGGAATGGAAAAGAAAAAAGAGAGAAAAGAGAAGAAGAAAAGAAAGAAAGGAAAAGATAAAGCAATGGGACAACAAAAAGAAAAACAAAAAAAAACTCTTCGTGGCTTTAACTTTTCAGGAAATAAATGTCACATTTGGGTCTCCTACAGACGTGTGCACCCCCCCCACACACAGAGACAGTCTTCATAAATGCAAGGGGCACAGTTTATATTTTCCCAACTTTGGGGGAAAAAAGCAATCCCTATTTAAAAAGAAACCTCGCTCAAATGCCTCCCCTTGCTCCTTCAGATTCATACACAAATCAAGAGGCTTCTTTCTCTGCTCCTCCTCCTCCTCCTCCTTCGGTTTGTGGGTTTCAAACAGCTGCCCTCAACTGTGCAGGCACAATTTCAACACAAAATGGGGGCTGCTGCAAACGCCGCTCTCTGGCTTTCTAAGACCAGAAGCCTCCTTTTTCCGAAGCTAGCATGAAGCAGGGGCATTTTTTGTCTCCAACAAACATCGTGCTGATGCGGCTGGGATACAAAAGTCAGATAACTGGGCGGGGAAAGCGATGCAGCCTGTGTATTTTTAATTTAATTTTATTTTGTGCCTTTCTGCACAAATCGGGTCTGATTTTTGGAGACTGCCTGGGCAAGTCCCTGCAATTTTCTTGGCCAGGTTTTCCAGAAGTAGTTGGACATTGCTACCTCCCTAGGGCTGAGAGAGAGTGGCTGGCCCAGCGGGCGTCGTGCCCAAGGCGGGACTAGAACTCACAGCCTCCTGGTCTCCTTAACTTCTGTAATTGCCACCTTCGGGCAGTTGGCTGACAATCAGGGCAGCCGAGTCCCAAATCTCTAGGAGGCGACAGGCTGTCGGTCCTCAGATTATGTCGTTGAAGGAGGCCGGGCACCAACCCGGAGAGGTAAAAGGCCGTGGGGAAAGGGCACCGAACACGCAGGCGGATTTACCTAACTGAACGTCCGTAGTGAACCGCAGCCTGTGGATCATGCTGACTTTGAAAGACTTGTAGTGATGGCTGCTTAGCATGTCTTGGACGGTCGCAATGTCGATCTGGGGGTCTTCCTCCGAGGTCTCCTCCCCTCTTGAGCCTCCGCCAAAAGAGAGACAAAGGAAGAGAGAAAGTGTGGTGGCCACTGAGACAAGGGAAGGCAAAAGGGGGACAATAGGAGGCAATGTGGGGGTCGGAAGGCCTTGTGGGGACTGGGCTGCAGTTCTGGGCGCACTTGGAGGAGAAAAGTCTGGACAAGTTTAGAGAAAAGCTACAAAAGAACATTTTGGAGCTGAGGGTTGAACTGTGGGGTCCTTGGTGATCTCTGAGCTAGGTGGTTTTCTTGCAGACGTTTCATGACCCAACTAGGGGACATCATCAGTGCTAGAAGGGAGTGGGGCTTGTGGGGAGGAGGAGGACGGTGGGGTCCTGGGTGCTCTCTGAGCTTGGTGGTTCTCTTGGAGACATTTCATGACCCAACTAGGTAACACCATCAGTGCTACTTAGTGCCATTAACACGGAGGATGTTGGGTCATGAAACGTGTGCAAGAAAACAACAAAGTCCCGAGAACATCAAGGACCCCTTGATGATAAAGAATCTGCACACCAAGCCTTGTGATGAAGCTGGTTTTCATGCTTAAGGCGGGACTAGAACTCACCGTCTCCTGGTGATCGGCCCAAAGTCACCCAGCTGGCTATCATGCCTAAGGCATAACTGGAACTCCCCGTCTCCCCGTTTCTAATCTCCCCTTAACCAGTAGATTAAACCGGCTCTCCGCTTTTAATGCATAGAATTAACATACTCCAGATAAACTAAGAAACTGAACTTGGCTTGAGCAGAAGAGGGAAATGAACGGCACTAAATGAATGGTTGTTAGTGGAGGGCTCCCTTCTAATGGGAGCAAAAAAAAAAAAAAGCCAGTTAGAATTTTTAAAAAAGGATTTTTTTTTTTTTATTCTATGAGATCAGCTTAACGCCGAATTGAAATTTCCTGCAGGGATCTTTCCCCCCCCACACACAGAGCCATTTCTATGCCAAAGACTAATAAAAGCATCTTAGCTGTAAACGATAATACAGATGCTTTTAGATAAAGTGGGGCGTGGATACAGTGGGGGAAATTGATTAAACCTCTTGCCGAAGACACGGAGAGTGACAGATTTGGTGGAACGCGCCAGCTAACGTCGCCTCCGTAGCCAAAACGACGGCCAGTTTTCCAGCTCTATATTTAGTCGCGAGAGATTAATGAAAATAATTAAAAAAAAAAACCATATAGACATGACAAGATGGCCTTTAGCAGAGAGTGGCAGTCAACTGGAAATGCGCCTTGCCAATTCCTGTAGGTTGATTCTTTGGAAAGTTTATGTCACCGGAAAACAGGCTCAGCCCCCTGTCTGAAATGGTACAGGGTCTCTTGCTTGAGCAGGGGGTCAGACTAGAAGACCTCCAAGGTCCCTTCCAACTCCGTTATCAGTCTGATCAACAGGGAAGGAGATCAAGAGTCCAGCTTAGCCACATCTGGAAAAAAAAAACACAGCCTTACTGAACAGGCTGGTCTCCACCAAATGGCTGTCCCCTGGGGGGAAAAAGACTAGCAGGGCACCCCCCCCCCCATCTGTTCAACAGATCTTGAAGTAGGCCTTGTTTACGGGCAGCAGCCTAGCAAATTGCCTCCACGTGCCGAACACAAAGAAATCACTCGTCTAGTTAAGTCGGCCGCTTCCGCCGTCATAAATGGAGGAAGGAACAGATTAGCTGGGGGATTTAAGACAGCCACCTTGTCACCCGCCTGTTCTGCCCTCTAATATCTTTGTCTAGGCACCCTGTTTTCTCCCTCCAGCTTCTGTCTTGCTTTGCTTAATGGAAGGATGGATTCCTAAACAGACAATGACTTATTTTATTTGCCCTGGCTGGCCTCAGGTATTAAGGGTCGGATTCAAACAAACCAACAAAAAAAAAAGCATCTTTAGTGCCACGCTTATTTCATTTTCTGCTTGTAGAAATGGCCCAGGCAGCAGCTATTTTGGCTCTTTAATGTCGCTGTCTTCCAGCTGTTTGGCCCTGCCTTCCGATCCAAGTCCGTCTTCGGCTGGGAGAAATGGGACGGGGTGGAAGAAGAGGAACGGATAAAATAGGCCCTGAAGAACCACAAATGGCTCCCGACAGAAGGCAGAAACCGAAGCTCAATTGGTACGTGGAGATTCAGGCAGATGGCCCCGTCATTACAATTTCACACCCCAATGCTACGCCGCGTGAAATCCGACAGGACTTCCGAATCTGTAAAATAAATCAGGTTTGTCTGACTTCCTCAATCCCTCCGGATAACTGGATAACTCTTCCCGTTGAGTTGGCGAAGGCTGCTGTAACCGGTTTGGCCTATAGAGAAATATGAATAGCTTTGGTCTTGTCATAACTATTTCTGTCTTGGGATTATTGTCCAGTCATTGAGTTGCGTCCGACTCTTCATGACCCCATGGACTATAGGTCCCTCTGTCCTCCACTATCTCCTGGACTTTGCTCAAATCCATGCTCGTTGCACTGATGGCCCTATCTAACCGCCTCATCCTCTGCTATCCCCTTCTCCGTTTGCCTTCCATCTTTCCCAACATCAGGGTCTTATCTTGTCCAAGGAATCCTCTCTTCTCATTTGGTGGCCAAAGTATTTGAGATTCAGCCAAAGGACATCTTTATCAAAGCTTTCATTTGACATCTGATGTCCAGTCCAACCTTGAAGCTTTAAAGCTTCTGGGATGGTTGAAGGTGCTTAACAAGTCACCCACCACAACTAAAGTGGGACTAGATGGATGGGTGCCAGCTTTCCAGTTGGGTATTGATCAAGTTGGACAATGTTTAGAGGAGGGCAGTGAAGGTACTTGAAGATAGGGCCTCGGAGGACAGGCTGAAGAAACTTGGGGATGTCCCATCTGGAGGAAAGTGGATTTAAAAAGTATATAAGTGTCAAGCATGAAGAATCAGAACCATACGTTGAATTTCAGTTAAGCTGATTTATTGCTCATACACCAAGAATTTAGCCAACTAAATTGGCACTAGATAAGAGTTGATGGAATTCAAGAGGGGTTGAACTTGGACTGTTTGTGGTAACGTAAAGACTCTAGCCTGATTCCTTTCTTGACTCCACCCCCCGGGCTCTGCCTGTCAGGAAGAGTGAAAGAAGAGGCTAGGAGAAAACCACCACGGGCAAACACCCAATGATTCCTTTTCAGTGGAATACTTTCAAGGGTAAACGAGGAGGGAAATTTTCAGAGTGAAGAATGAGGTTGGATTCTTGGACAACATGGAAGATTAAGCTGGACAATTCTCAGCGGTAACAAGGCGAGATGTTTTAAGGGCCTTTCAGATAAATCCTTAATGTAAATATGAAGAGCCTCAAGGTCCCCTCTTAGGAAATCAACACAGAGGTAATGTAAACTCCAAATGAAATAAACGTTAAAGCTTAGAAGCAGGAGTTGCTTAGTTCACAACGTCTTCCATGAACCCACAATTAAGCAGAGAGTCCTTTCCCATCCAATCAATGCTTGTTTTCTCTGTCCTTTTTCAGTTTCAATCACCTAACTTAGATAAGCAGGCTGGGAAAAAAACCTGTACAGATTTGTTGCTCTCAAATATTTGAAAATCGTTTTTGTTTTTAAAAGCCATTGACGTTATTCTGCTGCCTATAAAAATAGCAAAACAATCCACCGAGGGGAGAAAAATCCCGTAACGCCATCTCGATGACAACACAAGGACAATAAAGTAATAATATGCCCTATAGTTTGTTCAGGAGACGTGATGTTTTTTATTAGGATTATCGCAGACCCCCTCCTCCTTCAACAAGATAGAATGTTTCTGCAAATCGCAAGTGATTTTCCTTCTAGGAGAAAGATTCTGGGCTGAGTTGTCTGGTTCTGGAGTTTGCACGATTGTAGGTTATTAAAAAAAAAACTAATTAGCTTCTTGGGTGTAGTTAAAAGACGTGTTAGGGAAAACTAGAAAGTGATGAAGAAAAGGTAGAATTCCTCAGATGTTATACAGCTTTCAGAGTCATCCCAATCTTGTGCTAGGAAACAGACCCCCCTTGGATTCGAAACCTCGGCGAAACACGGGGATGTCTGACTTGTTGGTGGACGCCCAGAAGTTCCTATCTGGACTTCCAGATGGATGGATTTTAACTCCCAGGATCCTCCACCAAGGTCGCGATAGCTGGGGGATTCTGGGCAATGAAGTCCACCCGTTGAGAAGCTGCCCAAGTTGGCTTGGTTAAGAGCAGCCCAAGTCGCTTCAGTTGTGGGAACAAAATGGAAGCGGGGTTGGAACATCTCCCGAGATCTTGCAAGATCCCAAAGTAAGACTAGGAAATGGAGGAAGATTTGGGTTATTTTTATTTTCATTATTTTACCTATGCTTTGGGGCAACGTCAAGGGATTTGCAGGACACCGTTCCTTATTTGCTACCGAAGGTTTCTTCAAATGAGTGTGTCCCTAGACCAACTGCTGCTGATGAGTCCTGTGGTCTTCACACATAACAGAATAACAAGAGTTGGAAGGGACCTTGGAGGTCCTCTAGTCCAACTCCCTGCTCAAGCAAGAAGACCCTAGACCACTTCAGACAAATGGGTGTCCACTCTCTTCTTCTTCACCCACAACTTCTGGAGGCAAATTGTTCCACTGATTAATCGTTCTCACTGTCAGGAAATTCCTCCTTAGTTCTAGGTTGCTTCTCTCCTTGATGAGTTTCCATCGTTTCTTGTCTTGCCTTCAGGTGCTTTGGAGAAGAGATTGAACCCCCATCTTCTTTGGGGCAGCCCCTCAGATATTGGAAGACTGCTATCATGTCTCCCCTGGTCCTTCTTTTCACTAGACTGGACATGCCCAATTCCTGCAACCGTTCTTCGTACGTTTTGGCTTATCTGGAGGATGCTAAGAAGGTGGCGGAAGAACACCTAGCTACTACAGCTTGTGCGACTGCTGAAATGTTACTTAAAAGAAACCTCCAGACCTGAAATAACACTTAGACTCCTCCAGCCTTGGAAGAATGAGCTCATCATTCCTTCCCCCCCCCCCAAGAAAACAACAATAAAGGTTAGTTGTGTTTTCTCTACACCCACCTCCTGAATCCCCCATCCCATCCGCTTATTGCTTTAATGTAGTGGTATATTGCTTAATGAAAATTCTTAATTGTAATTCAATTAATTACATACACAGCATCCCCAATTACATTTTCCAATAAGATATTGCCTTTGGTTCAGGACTAAAGGCACTTAACCAATTTTAATATATTAAGACCAATTTCCCCTGAATACTAATTACGGTTTAACGACGAAAGGAGAACCAGGAACTTTCCAGAAGCTGGATGGGAAGTATAAAAGGAAATTAACCATGAATAGTGCAGGGGGCTTCTCTTGAGTGGAGACAGAGAGGTGGGAGGAGAGGAGGGGAAAGGGGGAAGAAAAAAAAACAAAAAACCCACCGCAACACAGATCCTACTGAACATTCCCAAATATGGGAAGTGATTGTGTTCCTCTTCCCAACCGCAGAAAGGGAGCGGGTGAAAAAAAAAAAAGAAAGACATCTTGCTGTGCTAATAATAATGATAATAAAATGATTTTTCTCCCCCCCCCATTTAATCCCTTGAAATGTAAACACACAAGATCTCAAAACGGAGCCTTTTGGCATTCATTTTTCCAGCATCTGTTCAGCTCCTTAAAGAGAATATTATGTGTGTGTGTGTGTGTGTGTGTGTGTGTGTGTGTGTGTGTGTACGTGTGTGTGCGCACACATGCGTGCTCTTCTGGAAAAAAAAAAAATCCTTAACGCTGCAACTCCTTTATTTGAAGAAATGGCTAATTTTAATTACAGCGGCTAAAATTAGACGGGAATATCTCCTGGCATTTGGAGATCTCTCCAGGGCCTCCGAAAAGCGGAATACCAGCTGTCCAGGACTTTAACCCACCCCCTTCAGATATGCCTTAATTGACAGTCTCAAAAGGTAGCAATCCTAAAGAGGGTAGCCAGGAATAACTACAGGCTTGCCATTTGGATCACTAAAGTACCGATCCGTGGATTCGGGAGTTTAAGAGCATTTATTGAGCCCTGGTGGCGCAGGGGTGAGAATGTGGCACTGTAGGCTAAACTCTGCCCACTGCCGGGAGTTCGATCCTGACCGGGTCAAGGTTGACACAGCTTCTCATCCTTCCGAGGTCAGTAAAATGAGGACCCAGATTGCTGGGAGGCAACAGGCTGACTCTGTTAGAGAGGGCTGTAAAGCACTGTGGAGCGGTATATAAGTCTGTATTGCTATTCCTAGGGGTTCAGGGTGTTGAAGGCTGAAAATGGAGCAGTATTTGGGCCCCAAACCGGAGTGAATCCAGATTGCCAATGTCCATGTTTATTTTTTTTTAAGAAGGAGAGTTTTGAAGTCCTTTGAAGGTTCATGATGAACCTTGCACTTCCCTGCTTCTCTCTCTTTCTCTCTCTCTCTCTCTCCCTCTCTCCCTCTTTCTCTCTCTTTTGGCAGAGAAGGCAGCTGACTTGAGGGAGGAGGGAGGAAAAAAGATCATCCAGATTGCCTTCCAACTCCTGGGCTGGGAAGCCAGGGGACATAACTTACGTGAGCTTAAAACTGTTTTGTAGACGGCTGTAAGGAAGGAAGGAGGGCGGGAGGGAAGGGAGAGAAAGGGTGAAGAAGAGAGCCAACTTACTGTTCTCGCGGACGAGGCAAAATTCCAGCGTGCTCTGACTCTCCAGCGTACAGTCTAAGTCGATGGGAACGTTGGGCTCGCTCTGTTTCTCCAGCCGGTATCGAGGTCCTGAAAAAGAGACGATAGCCACCTTTTATAATGACTGTCCACGGAAATTCTCCTGTCATCCAGGTCAGGGTTGTCCCAAACGTGCTTTTTTTCAAGAAGCAACTGGACTTTTGGGGGTTTTTTGCTTGAAGATGTTTCGCTTCTCGTCCAAGAATCCTTGGGCTGGGACCTTGGAGGTCTTCTAGTCTAACTCCCAGCCAAGATAGGAGACCCTCCACCATCCCATAGCTGTCCAATCTTTTCTTGGAAACCTCCAGCGATGGAGCACCCACAGCTCCATCCCTGTGACAGTCCTTCAAGGAGTGGAAGATGCTATCACCTCTCCAGAACTGGAGAGAAAAAACATCATGGCGGGCAGCCCCAAGCTAGAACATCAATCAGGAGAGGTGGTGGTGGACCAGTCACCTGAAAGCTGAGGGTGATGGGAGTGGTGTCCCGGGGGGAAAGGATGGGTTATGGAGCCCACTTCAAAAGCAACGAGGCTCTGAATGCCACAAAATGCTTCCTATTATTTACTTATAATAATAATTATAATAATAAAGTGGGAAGGGACCTTGGAGGGCATCTAGTCCTTCCTTGAACTTCTTCAGCTTCTCCTACTGACCAAGCAGCATGATGATGGTTAAAACCCTGATGGACAGGCTACATTATGCTCGTAACTCGAGGACCACCTGTTACCATTTATGGAGGGGATCCACTAAGTGAGGCTGCGGGATGGAGGAGAAAGGAAGAACATGGAGAAGAACAGGAAGCCAGTACACCCTACTGGGAGTGAGGCATTTCATAACAATTCTCCCGTTACTCAAAATCAGCACAGCCTTTTGCATGTATTTAAAATAAAGCCAGACAGATAAGTAGAAATAGAAGTGGAAGTCTCACACGTCGCATGACTCATAAGATGGTAACACTGGCCCATTAAATTTCAAAAATTGAAAAACCCAGGCAGAGAAGAGGAGTGCCAGCAACAGCCCGTTCCGTCTAGCAAGGAAGAAAAAAACGATCTTTTTTCTCCAGGATTATTATTTGTTTAAACAATCCCTTCACTGGCTGAAATGGAAACCCTGCGTGCGGGCGTGCTGTCAGACCCAGCTTAAGAGCGGAGCAGCTCGGCGTAAGATGATCCTATGGAGAATGGAGCCCTTCTCCCCTCTCGTCTCCCGTGGCTGGGAATCTGCCAAGTGCTGAGTTAGTTCCAGAAACCTGCTTCCATCAACTTAGGATTCTTATCTGCCCCAAATTCAGCCAGAAATGTTTTACAATCCGTCCTGCACGCCACTTCTGAAATCTTTCCAAGCTTGCTGGAGGACCAACCAGCAAGGAAGGCTGCTAGATTCTAGCAGACGAAAAATCTAATGTGAGAATCTTTGTTAAGAAAGATGTAGCTCAGGGTTGAAATGAGGAGTCCTCAGTGGTTTTCTTGCAGACATTTCATGACCCAAACTAGGTCACATAATGAAATGTCTGCAAGAAAACCACCAAGTTCAGAGAGCACCAAGTTCAGAGAGCACCAAGCACACAGATTATTATTATTTATTATTTTAAAGCATCAAACGGGACCCAGGATGGTGAATAGCATCTTGTGAAACATCTCCCCAATAATAAGAATGAAATGCTCTTCCCGTTGGGAGCCAAAACAAGCAAGTCCCTCAACAAAAGCAAGACAGGAAGGAAGATGTGTGTGTTTGTCTATCTCTCTCTCTGTCTCTGTCTCTGTCTCTGTCTCTCTCTCTCTCTCTCTCTCTCTCTCTCTCTCTCTCTCTCTCGTTTTGTGCGAGAAGAGGACATTATTCTAAGAAGCCATCTTTGCCTGCCAGCTAAATTGCAAAGCCTTCAGATGGCCTTTTGAAAAGCCCGACCCATCAGTTCTAATTTTTAAAACTCATCCTTTTCAGTCAAGGCGAGAAAAAGCCCCAATTTCAACTTTTATCTCCGCTACCAAAGTGCGGTTATCTGCAAGCTGATGTCAGGAGCTCTATCTCTCTTTCTGCTGACAAGCCGAGAGACGAGAAAGATAAGATTGGGAACGACTCTCCTTTCTCTTGAGTAAATAAATAATCAATACTCATCTAAATGTAAATGAGAAAGTATCCCCCACTGATAACAGGGCTCTTATCAAACAGCCAATTCAACCCCCCCCACCCCACCCCAGACCTGTCCACCAAATCACCACCGCTCCGGCCAGGGATAATGGCTAAAAATGGTCATTAAATTGAAAACGATCACCAGAGATCAACTAGGTTTGAGGCTGGCTACTTTTCCTGTCCCCCCCCCCTGATATTTGGGGAATGCAATCTGGGTCCATTAACTTTCAGCCGGGCAGTGAAGGATGAACCGGGTCAAGGCTGATGGACCCAGGGGGGATAAACAAACCTGAATGTGGTTTTAGCCCACCTTCCTTCCTTCCAACAGAAGAGAGAGAAAAAAATATCGAGAGAAGAAACAAACCCAACGATAACAACAAAAGAATTTAAAAAAAAGAGAGAGAATGAAGCAGAGGCGAGCAACAAAAATCCGCAAGCGAGGCACAGCCGTAAAACGGGGTGAAGGTAAGCAAAATTATAGAACGATCTCTCCCCAGCAATCTGTGCTTGTGTGGGCAAACTCTTCCTTTACAATACACAAACAAAAATGTTCATGGAAGAAATCCAAGCCGAGATAAAAATGATCAGGCTCATGTTTTGGATGTGTTATGCACAGACCCGGCTCTCGGGAGAAGCCCATAACCCTGGGAATGAGAGGAGAGTGATCAATAGCAATGTAGGTTACAGAGTGATGGGTTATAGCATTACGGGAAGACTTGAAGGACTATGCTAAGAACACAACACTTGGGAGGTCTACCCTATGGGGTCAGGAAGAGTAGGCGCAGTCTCCCTGTGGGGTCACTAAGGGTAGATAAAGGACTATCCATGGGGTCACTAAGAGGTCTACTTCTGGGGTCACTAAGAGTAGACACATATCTGCTTGTGGGAGGTCACTAAGAGTAGACACAGACTTGACACACATAATACTACGCAGAAGGCTTTCAAGAAGAGACTGGACAGCCATTTGTCTGGAATGGTATAAGGTGTCCTGCTTGAGCAGGGGGTTGGACTAGAAGACCTCCAAGGTCCCTTCCCACTGTGCTATTCTAATGTTCTACAAATCCCAGCAGTTAGACCGACTGGGTTCATTCCAAAGACTGACACAAAAGGAATACTCAAGGAAGAGTCCCACCATCGCAGGAATAAAAAGGAAATTCAATGAAAGGCTGTTTGGAAATTTATGGACTACACGTGGCAGATAAAACCTCATTTCACAGCTTCCATCGAGATCCTTAGCAAGCAATCTACCGACTGCTTTGTATCCTGACAAGACATCGTAGTAGTATTTCTCCTTCTCTATCTAGGAGAAATGGGTTGATTACAGAAACCGGAGCGATATCCTTGCTTAGGAGACATCAAGATGCAGAGATGAAATCCCCCCCCCCCCCGATTAATTGCGAGGCTGGATTGTGCTTCCTTTGTAAATGAAACCAAATCTCTGCTCTGGCCTCTTCTGCTTTTCAAATAAAGTATCCATTCTATTAGGAAGAAGGTTGAGCAGATCAATTAATTGAGCTGAACAATTAAAAGGCCCCAATCAAACTCTTTTAAATGGTGAACGGGGCCATCTTTTCCGTTGCAATTGGATTGAAGAATTGTTCATTGCATTCCTTTTAGACTGTATCTTACTACTGCTGCTGCTAGCTTCTTCCTCCTAATAAATAGCATGGTATAATTTATTGGTTGATTTCCTAGCTAGGGCTCTACGAATCTTAAAAGTCAAACTTGGATCTCTGTGATTCCCTCTGTTGGAATAAACTGATAAATGTCCAAAATACCTCTTTATTTGATCAATACATGGCTGTGAGTGAAGACGATGATTCCTAATACTCTTGGTTATAAAGCTAGCGTGCCATGCAGATGTTTCATTACCTAATTAGGTAACATTATCAGTTATTAACAGTTCCCTAGTTGGGTAATGAAACATCTGCAAGAAAACCACCAAGCTCAGAGACCACCAAGCACCCCACAGTCGTCCTCCTCCTCCTCCTCCTCCTCCTCCTCCTCCTTTCTGCAAATCCCACTCCCTTCCAGAACTGATGCTGTTACTTGGATGGGTAATTAAATGTCTGCAAGAAAACCACCAAGCTCAGAGAGCAGCCCACAATTTCATCCCGAGCTAGGGATATTCTCTTCTGCCAGTACACTGCTAGCTGCTTGATCATTTCCAGCCACTGTAGTTATCGGCAAAATGTCCCCATACACACAAAGATCTAAACACACATTTTATTCCGCACATTTTAAAAACACACACTGTAATGCTAAACCCTGCCAAAGAGGTCTAGTGGAAAATCACAAAGTAGTCCTTTTTTTTTTTTTTTTAAGGCACTAACACAAGTAGATTTGTAATTGGGCTTTCTTATACACACACAGATACACACAACCATCAGCTGGCTCACTTTATTTTCCTGTAATGAGTTAGTAGAGAGGAAGGACCTTTTTTTGATTTATTTTTAAGGGCTATTTTGACTAAATTCTGTAATTTCGGTAGCTGTCAAGGTGGCGTTAAGCAAAATGGGTTTGAAACGCTGTAGTTCTTGTGTCCCAGGCCAGGTGTCAAGGTCCTTTTTGCTTTTCCCTCGGAATTCTGTCACTCTGGATTTACTATCGGTTTCCCACTGCTGAATTCTTAAGCAGCACCGATTTAACACTTCAGTCTTTCTTCAGCCGGTTCTGGCATTTATTTGAACGCTTTATTTCCATATGCTCAGTTTTCTTTCTTTCTTTCTTTCTTTCTTTCTTTCTTTCTTTCTTTCTTTCTTTCTTTCTTTCTTTCTTTCTTTCTTTTTCTTTCTTTCTCTGTCTCTCTCTTTCCCTAACTACTTATTGCTTCTTCCTTCTTCTCCAGCCTTCCTTCCTTCCTTCCTTCCTTCCTTCCTTCCTTCCTTCCTTCCTTCCTTCCTTCCTTCCTTTCTCTTT